TTCCCTCTGCCCCTCCCCCCCTTCCCCTGGGCTCTCCACCTATTACCCCTGCATCCCCCTCCGTCCCTCCTTTCAACATATCATTGGGCCAGCCGATTCGAGCTCACAGCCGCAGATGCTCTCCCTAAACATGGAAGGGACTGCAACAAGCACAAGGCATTTCAAGGAAGGGATCAGCTTATTGAACAACAGCAGCAACGAAGTGGGATAAGGGCTTGTACGGACGATGGAACTGCAACAAGCGCAAGGCATCCCAAGGAAGAGATGAGCCTACTGGACAACGGCAGCACCAAAGTGGGACAGGGGCCTGTACGGATGAGGCACACAGACAGCCCAGAAAGGGCAGCATTTGGTGCTGGGTTGTCTCCCTTGTCAGGTGCTGCTCAGACTGTTGTAAAGTTTGCAGTTATGATAAAAATATGCCTCTTCTTCTAGCTGTAGTCAACATATTAGATTACATCATCTCTCACCATCGCTTGTCAGGTAGGCAAGCAGTTCAGATCACTCTGTAGTTCTACTTGCCAAACTAGCCAAACCTCATTCGGAGTAAGTGAGCCCCGTAGCTTGCTGGCATCACAAGTGGTGTCATTACAAATGCAGGTTTGTTATTCTAGCTGCAGTCATGATACCGATGCATACCATCAGTCACCATAGGCTGTCCGGTAGGCAAGCAGCCCAGACCACTGTGTAGTTCTACTTGCCAAACTTCATTCCGAATAGGTGAGCATGGTAGCTTGTTGTCATCACAATTGCATGACCGTTCACACAAACAACTACATTGTTCTGGGACGCTGGACCCGATTTCCAGCAGGTTCTGCTCCCCACCAATAGATGGAGCCTCCCCGGCAGAGCTAGTGGTGCATGCTCTTACCAGCACCCCTAGCTTCCGCTCGGGTGTTCTTGAAAAAAAATAAAAAATACATGGGAAGATACACTGCCATTTTTTTGTCTTTTCTGCATGTCGTGAGTAGTGGAGCGAGTGTTTTCCGGTCTTTTGTGTTTCTTTTGGCCCTGGGTTGCAACCGCTCATGGCATACTCACAGTAGCACTTTTTCTTCTAAGCTCTGGACACTGTTCTGGTCACATCCATCCACCTCTGGCCGTAATTGCGGCCAGATACGTATAGGAAAGTGCTATTGTCATACCTCAGGGAGAATACGCCTGCAAGTCGCGAGCGCCATTGGCCATGTGTTTTTCCTCCTTTTTTTTTCCTTCAATAGCTAAACCTGTAATGACCTGCCAAACACAGACTGAGACACACAGTTGATTTCTGAGTTTTGCTCATGGAATGTATGCCTTACTGAGTTTCCCGCTTGTTGCCGAGTTTTCTACGTCTGTGTGGGTGCATGCTTGCTGGTCTGCATGTCTGTCTGAGTGCTTGTGGTGTGACCCGCAAGGGCACTTGGTTGTTCGGAAGGCCCAAAGGGACGGTACTTACCTGTGGCCGTGACATTGAGGGTTGCAGCGGGGAACACACTCAAGTGGCGGGGAAAGAGGCCCGCGACACTTAGAGCAGCGGAAAACACTCAAGTAGCAGGTAGGCCGGTACCACACCAAGTAGAGGTAGACGTGCTGGGATTTTTAGAGGCCCAGTAGTTGTAGGCTAGGTCTAGGCGGGTACCAGCCCAACCAGTTGAGTCTAGGGCCTGTACGGGCAATATCAGAGTCTGCAATGATGTTTCCTTCCGAAAGGGAGGAGGTACCGGTTGCTTGGAGGCCGCGCGGCCTAGGAAGTCACTCGCCAAGAGGCAAGCAGGCCGCTATATCTCGAGGAGGAGCTCCAGGAGGAGCAAAGTGCTCCTCCTCGTTGTCGGTGTGCAAGTTTGGCGACACACTGGTTGGAGCTCTGGCTGGAGCAGCGCTGCTGGGGCAGGAGCAAAGACATGGGGAGAAGAAGACCAGGACTAGGAAGGGGGAGTGCCAGAGGTACTTACCTGGCTATGGTGCCATCTTCATCACCTTGGTGGGTGCTGCAGCACGAAGGCCCCAATTGGGGTAGAGCTACACCAGGAAGCTTCGAGGCAGAGTCAGACATGGTGGCCTGAGCTAGAGCAGCCATAGGTCCTTTATGTTGTCATTTGCACAGCAGGGTGATGCCCTGGTAGTCCGCCATAGCCTCGGCCTTGGAGGAAGGAGGAAGAAGGGCTGCCATGGCTATGCTGGACCTCATGTGATACCTGCAGTAGAAGAGGGATTTGGAGATTGATTCTGGTTCAGCCATTCAACATGATTTTTATTATTTCTTGCTTGAATAAGAGGGGAGGAGATAAGGAGGAGGAGAGTGGTTGGCGAAGAAGAAGAGCATTATCATATGCTGGTGTACATCATCTTCTTCTTCTTTCTTTCTTTCTTCTTCTTCTTCTTATTTCCCTCTCTCTCCTCTCAAGTTCATTCATTTCTTTTTGCAATTGGACGGCATTGTACTTTCTGATGTATGTGTACTTCGAAATTGCCCAGGATCATAACAAACCTATATTCTTCTCTCTACTTTAGTCTCTACCTACCTACCTACCACTACCACTAAGCCTATACAGGGGACACCGGCAAGCATACCTGCCTCTCACAATCTAGCGGATGCATGTTGCCCCCCGCCCTAATTGTCGGTGGTCAGGAAGTAGGCGGCGCCTCCCATCAACTTCCCCTGCCTCTGTTGAGTAGCAGGAGGGTCTATGGCCAGCACTCACACACCGCACACATCCCCACACACTTACCCACACAGACGGCCAAAGACCCTGCCACTACCGACTGGCCGGGCAGGCCGAGTATGTAGATTGGTTGGCCACTTGGCACTGAGCGTGCCCGCATGGGCAGTGTCTGTGGTCTCTTTTTTTTGGGCAGGCGAGAGGGTGCCTGTGGGGGGACCCTCCCGTGCACACAGTATGGCGCGCTGCCCGCTCGATGCAGCCGGGTCCAATGGTACCATCGAACCATCGTGACATCATGCACACCATGTAATACCGCAGATCCTGCATGATGCCGTTGCCGTGCCAAGGGCAGGATAGGCACTGGGCCGCGGCATCGCTGCGGTGGGTTGCCTTGTATCTTTCTGTTTTATTTGGGTTGGCCTGGCTGCTGCTGCCTTTTTTTTTTTTTTTTTTTTTTTTGGGGCCTGGCTCTTCAGGAGATAGTGGTTGGTTTATCAGTGCATAAGGCTGAGAAGGAACCGTTCTGCTTTTTTTTTTATAAATGCATGTCGTCCTTGCACAGGGGTCATGCTAACCTTCTCTGTATCGTTCCAATTTTAATGGCTGTCTTGAAGGACTAACCATTCCGCACTCTGTATTTCAAAAGTTAACAAATAAAAAAGGGAATGAAAAAAGTCCGAGAAACTGAGGGCCTACTCACACAGGATTTTCTGCAGTGTACCTGTTAGCAGTTTAACGGCCAGATTCAGCTGAAACAGTCCGAGTGTGTTGAATAAAGATAAGATGTGCTCAGATAGGTGTAATCGGCATTTTCCTGTTGATGCTGTCCGATTTGGGTTGCAGATGAAAGAGCGGTTCCCCCTGGTCACCCTTCGCAAAGGTCTGAATAATGCGGCTCCAGCGAGGGATTTCATTGGAACACTCCGAGAGAGGCAGCAGGAGACGGGCTTGCCTGCGCTGATTGCAGAAGTGAAGAAAGCATCTCCCAGCAGAGGAGTGTTGCGTGAAAATTTTGACCCAGTAAGTGCCCCTACGTTCTGCCTCTCCTGCCCCTCCCCCCCCCCTTCTCCCCGCTTCACCCCTCTCTGCTTTGTTGTCCTTCACATGGCTTCCTCCTTTCCCTGTTCCTCCCCTCCTCCTCCCCCCCACCCCACTTCCCCGGCTGTTTTCATCCTCCGTCCTCCCCTTCCTCTTTCTTGTGCTTCGTTTGGGTTCGTCCTGTCTGTGTTTTGGCTTTCCTGTTTTTTTTCAGACGGTCTTGCCAGTTTTTTGGGTAGGTATTTCATTGTAGTTATGGGAAAGACATTTTCTTAACCTTCAAATGCCGCCATTGATAGGAAGTGTTGCTTGCGTCACCACTGCTTGCCTGGACGGGATAGAAAGGAAGTGTTGTTTCAGGAACTCTGATTGGGCTCATCCCTGCTTGGACTGATTTTTGCTTGGCCTGTTTTTTTTTTTTTTTTTTTGGGGGGGGGGCTGGCTTTCACATCAACCAGAATCATAGAGAGTGGGAAAAGAACCTCAACGCACTCATCAAGCAATGATTCTTGCGTGGCCTGATTCTTGCATGGCCCAATTTTTGCTCGGACTGATTCTTGCTTGGCCTGGTCCTTGGGCAACACACAGACAATTCTTTGTGCGTCAAAGATCGTTCAGTCTTGGTCTTGGCCTTGGGCTTGCGTCATCAATTGGACCGTTTGAGGAGTTTCTTTTCTGAACCTGGTTCTCAACTGGTTCTCAACCTCGTTGTTCTCACCCTCGTGGTTCTCAACCTGGTTCTCAACCTGGTCTCAACCTGGTTCTCAACCTGGTTGTCTCAACTGGTTGTCTCAACTGATTGTCTCAACTGGTTCTCGACTGTTTCACAAACTGGTTCAAACTGGTTCAAACTGGTTCAAACTGGTTCAAACTGGTTCAAACTGTTTGTTCTCAACTTGTTCTCAACTTGTTCTCAACTGGTTTTCAACTGGTTCTAAAATAAAATGGGTTGTTCTCAACTGGTTCTCAAACTGGTCCTCTACTGGTGCTCAAGGGTCTTAAACCACCAGTCAGTTTGAGGCACTTTTTCCCGATTCGGACTTTTGCCGCGTGTCAATTCCCCTCCCGAACCGGTGTGGCACGCTATTTGCCCGGGGACCGCAGCCTCTTCTGTCTGGTAGACCCTACCTATGATTTTGTTTCGGGTGGTACTGTCAGGTCCAGGCGCCTGGCTGGTTTACCATATATAGCTACAGTATTAGAAGATTGTGGTATGTAAAACCACGATTGCGAAAAGTTGAAGTCCAAAGATCCAATATTAAATTCCCCCTAGGCAGGGCTTGTCTCTGTGGTAGCATGAAATCTGCGTTGTGCAGATGCATAGGTTATTGCTTATTCTACTTGTAGCCAATTAGGTTATATGGTATTCGCTTGTGGTATCTCCAATTATTCTGTGAGTGTATTTCATCTGATGAACCATGCTCCTGATGAGTCGGTGAAACTCCGATGAAACAGTTTGTCACAGCCCCTCGTTTGTTGTCCTCTTCTCCCTCTCTGCCTACGGTTTACCGGGCAGTTCTATTTGACGATATATATTTATATATATTATTACCTAATAGTATGGATAAGCTGACATTAACTCGTGAGATATGATCCCTTCCCTATTACTGATGAGATTGTCAGTGCTTTCCCATTACTAGGTCCCTTTCAATAGGTACTATGGGTGCTCTGACTTCCAATAGGTACATCAAACAAATCAGTTGGATCTTGCCGGTATCACCTATAGGCTTTAACATTGTAAGTTGTTGTTTAGTCACCTGTCCCCCAATCAATATCAATAGGTGCATTGGAACAAAGTAGCTCGGAAATGGACTGGTGGTTTATAGCCCTGGTTCTGTCGAGGAGTTTTTGTATTACGAACTGAAACCATCGCCGAACTGGGCTGAAAAAGAAGTCCCTGTCAATTGATCTGTGACCTTACGGCTTCCTGGTTAATGCAGAGCCACCTGAATTCTATGATGCTCCTTCGGCTGCGAGCCACTGTGGAGACTGGTGGCTTAATCAGTTTATTGCAGAGTGAAAAAAAAAGAAGGGTTCTTATGCTTGTATGGTTCGTGAAGGCAGAAAGGAAAAAAAAAAAAAAGGGTTGTTATGGCAATAGGTTTCATTCATACTTGTGGCGCATATGTGGAGTGCGCACGCTGTGCGGTGTGGTGCAGGGAAAAAGAAAAGAAAAGAAAAGAAAAAAGCAGTCGTGATATGTGTATACATGCGCGCGCGAGAGAGAGAGAGAGAGAGAGAGAGAGAGAGAGAGAGAGAGAGAGAGAGAGAGAGAGAGAGAGACCTTTCACATTATTCAGAAAACCCCTGCCAGTACTCCGAAAGGCCCCTGCCAAAAATTAGCAAGGGTGTCCTCGCCAAGAAAGGGGTAATTGTTGGACTTGTAGTAGGGCAGTAGCAGGGCAACTATATATGGTGTAGCTTCGAATTCAGGTCCGTGTTTCAGCAGTTATGGTTTACTAACTTACTAACTCAGCATGTGATTTTCAGGGCTTCACTCCACTACTCACCAAATGTCCAAAACTAGAATGAATCTTATCCTAGAAACTGGAACCATACGCCGCCATATGTTTTGTCTTTTGTGCGAGTGGTGACCAAAGGAGCGAGGCTGTTAGGCCCATGACTGCTGGAACACAGACCTGAAGCCTGCGTGTGTTCAACCAGCAATTCGGTGAACGTCTCTCTGGAGAAATGGGACCCTTGTTAATTCTCTGCTGGGGGCCCTTTGGAAAAGAGACTGGATCCAATGAGGAGTACGATGTGGCCCCAAATTGTTTTCCTTCTGTGCACTTACAATTTTCAGAAGGGAGGGGCACATTTGGCTACCACAGCCTGCCCTTTTCAATTTTTTTAATCAACCCTCTTTTTCGTACTGGCACCACATCGCGTGTGTGCGCATGTGTGCGCATGCGTTATGCGCCGCACATGATGCGCCGCATGTACGGTTTCATTAAAGGGAGTAGGTCTCACCCATTTGTTGCAGAGTGAAAAAAGGTCTTTGGAGAGAGTGAGAGAAGTTTGTAGGGAGCAGTGTCTGGCAGTGTACGAGGAGAGCGAGATAGCCTGAAGCTAGGGGGGAAATAGATATGAGAAAGGCAAAGGAATGTTAGGGCGATCAAGGTTTATTGGAGCGTGGTACGGGACAGCTATCAATAGAAGAGACGGAGGGTGGTAATGACCAGTGATATAGGGGATGGGGGGGTTTTACTGAGTTTGTGTGTTTGGGTTGTGGAACTGTGTGTGTGCAAGTGAATTGATGTGGCCACTGCATGTAAGTGGCCAATCACGGCACGAGGCTTATTGCAATGACTTGCTGTTTTCTGCCGCCGGTGACCCATCGACTTGAGGCTGTAACATAGGTAGGCTAGATTTGTAATTTTGTTTGGCTGAGGGCTAACCGAGAGACCTGCCTGTAAGGAGAATCCGGTAGGGACATATCTGCAATTCGGGAAAATATAGGACCACACTAACTGAAATTCCTACAGCTACCCTAATTGCGAATAGCAGGCCCGGGCTAGCCCTAGGACGGACAGGCCCTAATGGCCTATGCCAATAGACGGTCCTATAGCCTATAGCCGGGTAGGGAGAGGCCGAGAGGCTGAAACTGAAACTGTACGGGTCGGTCCAGTCAGTCCGGTCTAGGTCTAGGCTAGGGCAGTGTAGTCCTATAGATAGTTTTGTAGGAATCGGTTGGGGGGGTTTTGGCAGTTGGTAAGGTGTACGTCGCGGCTGTGCAACGCAGGAACTGGAGTGGTGACAGCTTCAGCGTTGGGGAAGACGGACATAGCCAGACCTGCGAAGCGTCGGCCATAGCTGGGAACTGCACTGTTCTCTGACAGCACTCGGGGCTGTTCAGAGGTCTGGGCTGTCTGGAGTCTGCTGGAGGCGAGAGAAGTTGGTGCCCTGCTGAACCCTCCTCAGGAGTAGGGTATCAGGGTGTGTGGCGCTGCAGCCATAGCCGCAGCTTCCATCCTCAGAGATCATCTTTGTCAGGAGAGGTGGCGCTGCTGCAGAACTTCATCCGTGAAAACACCTGGCACACCATCTTCATCAGAGACTGTGGCGCTGGTCTTCTTCTTCATCCTCTGAGAGGCGCTTGGCCTCAGAGGCCTGTTTCAGGGTGGCGCTTCCCTCTGGAGGCAGTATCTGGGTGGCGCTGGTTGTTTCAGGGACTCAGGGGTAGTAATACCGGTTACTCAGGGTTGGGGAGTGAAGCGCTGCTCATTTCTGAGCAGCGCACCATAGTTCTGGGGTTATTCTCACATTTCGAGACTCTGAGTTAATAAACAGTGTAAATACTGTGTGTGGACTATCATTGCTTCATTGTTTCCTGGATGTGATCTTCTCGGCTTTCCTTTGTGACTGGTTGTGACGATACTGTGGAGTGAATTGCACTTTCAGTGTTTTCTATCATAGGGCATGGTCAAGTCTTCCGCTGTGTTTATCTCTCCCTGTGCGGTGTGATACTCCCATCCTCTCCCCTTCCTTCTGTGTGTGTATGGGCATACCTGGAAGTCCATGTGAGCGAGTGTTGGTCTTCTGACAACAAACAACCAGGTTCATAACATTATTATCACACTGTGGGTGGGGTCGATCGGCACACATGCACCCCTGAGCGGCTCGGTACGCAGTGTGTCTCCCGGCTAGAGGTGCCTGAGTGTCTGAAGGGCTTGCTGCCAATCTGTGTGCCAATAAGCTCTCACTGCCTGGGGCGTCTAATGCCGGGGCAGACCTGTTCTTTCTTTTGCCATTCCTGCTGTTCATTTTCAAACTTGACCTTGGTGGTAAAACAAACACTCAAAAAAAGAAAAATAAAATTTTGTGTTACTTCATGCCAGTTCATGGTGAATAGAGTCAGCTAACTCTGCTACAATTTCCTCGCATGAGCATCTGGACAAATGCCCCCCAGAATAGATGGGGCAAGAGTGTATTTTGGGGTGAAAAGAAAAAAACACAAAAGGAGAACACACTTGGGTTGGCAGTTTGGTGTAATAGGGATGATCGACAGTATTGGCGGGGGGAGTTGGCTCAGTTGCAGTTCTCGTGGCTCCTGGCCATGCATCAGTCGGTAGTCGGGTTGCCTATGTGCTGCTGATGTTCTGAAAGGCTGCACCGCCTTTTTTCAGAGAGGCGGTGTTAAAGGGAAAACAAACCGGACCCACTTCAAGCTATTTGACTTCATCTCTCTGATGTCCATGTTGTCCTTGCACAGGGACCACGCTACCGTCCTCCCCCGAACATAACGTACCCTGATTATTAAATGTATACAAGTCATCTTTCCCGTCCGATGCGCTCATGGTGAGGGTGTGTTGTGTTCGGGGAGAAAGACGGCAGTCTTTTTTTCCACCGGGTGATTCCAATTTTGAGGATGCCCATGTGTCAAAACTGGAAACACCTGTGGACCCTTCATTTCTGGAGAATTCTTGACTCTTGGTTTGCCTGGGTCTGACCCTTTTTCGGCCCAGGGGTCTGAACCCTGGGTTCGCATCGCGTACCTGGACCTGAGTTTGGTGGGCGTGGCTGGCCTAGAAAACCTGTTATAGTTGGTTTGCAGTCCTACCTGACGCAGAACATTTCTCAGACGCTTCTCTAGGCCTCCATGGATGTAGAATTGTCGTAGATCGAACGGACAATGATGAAACTGACTCAGTGCCGAAGGAATGCGGCGGGTCTTCTAGCCTTGGTTGTCCCACAACTAAAAAACTAAAAGTAGTCTTTTGAGTGTTGACTCTTTTCTTTCTTCTTTCACACAGAGGTGGCTCAAAGAAGAAATGGGAAGAGCCAAGAGAAAAAACAAAAGAAGTTCACATTTGGGCCTTGGCAGGTCCTCTGCCCATGCCGGAGCTGATTGATAATGGGCTTTCGCTCCATGGTACAACATTCTAAAATGTATCTGGGGCGTGTAATGGTCCCTATACTTTCAAAATGGTGGATCATCCCGAATGTATCTGGTTCACATCACTGTTCATATACATGTAGAATGAGCAAGCGCCAATGCTTCCGGAAACTGGGTGCTTTCTATGCAGCAGTGATGTCAAGCAATTTTGTCGACTATCTAACAGCAAAACCCTGCACGTGGTCTTTTCTCTCATTGTGCCTCTCTCTCTCTCTCTCTCTCTCTCTCTCTCTCTCTCTCTCTCTCTCTCTCTCTCTCTCTCTCTGTGTGTGTGTGTGTGTGTGTGTGTGTGTGTGTGTGTGTGTGTGTGTGTGTGTGTGTGTGTCTGATTTTGCGCGTTATCTGTGCCTGCCTCTTTTACACAGGTTCAAATTGCACAGTCCTATGAGAAAGGAGGAGCCGCATGCCTTAGTGTTTTGACAGACAGCAAGTACTTCCAAGTCTGTCTCTCTCTCTCTCTCTCTCTCTCTCTCTCTCTCTCTCTCTCTCTCTCTCTCGCTGTTGGCTCCATTTTGGTCTCTCTTAAATTTTGTTGTCTACATTTTGCTGAAAAATCTCTGCTGTAATCGAAAGGTTGTCATTTCTTCTCCGTAAGTTTGCAGAGTATATTGAGAGATATCATTGAATCATTCTGAATGCAGGAGCCAGAATCCAATCCTCTATGAATGCCTGCCTTTGAACTGCGGCCTTTTGATTATGTAAATTTATGCCATGGGCTAAGAGTATGAAGCAAATTCCTTTTTTTCAATTTTTTCATTCGTTTTGTTTTGCTTTTCACTTTTTCATCTTTTTGAACTTTTTCATTTTTTTTTTCTTGTTTTTCAGTTTTGTGAGGCTCCAGGCCTCTGACCACCCTACGTGAAGGCAGGCCTTGAAAATTCACGACGACTGGCCTTGAAAATTCACGACGACTCTAAGTCAAGGCCGAAAAGGGGTCCTATGGGTTGGCTGCCAGGTGCCAACCTGGCAGCCAACCCATAAGAGTTGCGATTTTTTTGCCATCTATCTGATGTATGGATACATTGCATGGAAATGACACGATGAAAACAACCCCTCTTATGAGTAGATTTAAGCCCCAAAACCGACTGTTGGAGAAGGTGAAATAAAAGTAGTGTTGCTGTGATAATTTTGAAAGGGGGCTTAGGTTGGGTATGTGATGGGCTGCTGTTGCCAATGACGTTCGCTCTGCTTCTCACTGAAATTTTATGAAATCTGTTGATTTCTGCCACATGCAGCACTCTGCTCTTGCAGTTCTTGCGTCTCAGCTTCTTTCTGTCTGTTAGACTGAGCTTTCGTGACAATCGATAATGTCTGCCTTGCCATCGAAATGATCTCTGCAGGGTAGCTTTGAGAACTTGAAGTTAATTCGGGACTCAGGTGTTCAGGTAAATCTCTCCCTCCCTCCCTCCCTCCTCTCTCTCTGTCTCTGTGTCTGTCTATCTGTCTATGTCTCTTTCTCTGTCTGTCTGTCTGTCTGCCTGTCTGTCTCTGTCTGTCTGCCTCTCTCGCTCTCTCTCCCTTCCTCCCCTGCCTCGTCCTCTGACTCCTCTCTCTCCCCTTCCCCTCCCGCCTCTGCCTTCGCAGTTTAGGATTTTGATGGACTGTTTTCGAAGCCTGAGGTAACTGTTTCTCTCCTCTCTCCGGGATCCCATCTCCTCTCTTCTCCCCCCCACCCACAATGTATTGCGAGGTAAGTTCATGGGATGGCTTCACAGGGTTTGCTATGGCATGTGTTTCAGTTGATATAGTTCCAGAATTATGCCTGCTGTAGGGCTATGTGTACATTATTGACTGACACCCTGGGAGCAGTGTAAACCATACACTATCGCGAGTTGCGTCTGCCATTAGGTTTTTCGTTTTATCATCAACTTTTATGTTTAATGCGAAAACAGTTCAGTAGCACTGGCAGACAATTCATGAAGTGGGCAGAAATTCCATAAACCTGGGTAAAGTGAAAATACTCAAATAGCATACTTGCGGCGCATCGTGTGTGCACCAGTCGTGCACACGTGGGGTATTGCAATGACTTGCTGATTCTGCGGCGTGCTGCTCGTCGCACCGAGGCTGTAACATAGGTAGGTTAGATTCGCAAATTTGTTTGGCTAAGGGCTAACCGAGATATCTGCCTGTGGGGAAAATTCGTGAGGGACATCTGTAAATTCGGGAAAATATAGGCCTGTACTGACATGAATTCCCACAGCTACCCTAGCTGCGAATAGCAGACCCGGGCTACCGCTAGGACAGATGGGCCTACGGGCCTATGCTGTTAGACTGGTCCTATAGCCTATAGCCGGGTAGGGAGAGGCCCTAGAGGCCGAAACCGAAATGGTACCGGTCAGTCCAGTCAGTCTGGTCTAGGTCGTGTCTAGGCTAGGGAGGACTATGAATGGAATTGGGAAGTCTGTTCAGGGCTTTTGGCAGTTGGTACCGTGCACATCGCGAGATGCAACGCGTGAACTGGAGTGGTACAGCTTCAGTGTTGAAGGAGACACACATAGCCAGACCCTCGAAGCATCGACCATAGCTGGGACCTTCGCTGTTCTCTTACAGCACGCGGGGCTGTCCAGCGGTCTGGGCTATCTGAGGTCTGCTGGGAGCAGGAAAAGTTGGTTCCCTTTTGAACCCTCCTCAGGAGTAGGGTTTTAGGGTACTGGCGCTACAGCCATAGCTGCAGCTTGCATCCTCAGAGATCATCTTTGTCAGGAGAGGTGGCACTGCTGAAGATCTTCACCTGGGAGGCCTTCCGACACTTCATCTTCATCAGAGACTGTGGCGCTGGTCTTCTTCTTCATCCTCTGAGAGGCGCTTGGCCTGAGAGGCCTGTTTCATGGTGGCGCTTCCCTCTGGAGGCAGTATCTAAGTGGAGCTTGTTGTTTCAGGGACTCGGGGGTAGTGATAGTGGTTATTCAGGGTTGGGGGAAAAATCGATGCTCATTTCTGAGCAGCGCACCATGGTTCTGGGGCAATTCTGACAAAACGATGTTCTGAGTTTAATAAACAGTATTGCTACTGTGTGTGGACTATCTTTGCTTCATTGTTTTCTGGATGTGATCTACTCGGCTTTCCTTTGTGAATGGTTGTGAGGATTTTGTGGAGTGATTTGCACTTTCAGTGTACTCTGTTATACCGCATGGTTAAGTCTTCCGCTGTGTTTCTCTCTCCTTGTGCGGTGTGATACTCCCATCCTCTCCCCTTCCTTCTGTGTATGTATGGGCATACGTGGAAGTCTATATGAGCGAGTGTTGGTCTTCTGACAACAAGCAACCAGGTTCATAACAGTTGGTATCAGAGTAGTTGGTCTTCTAACAACAAGCAACCAGGTTCATAACAGTTGGTATCAGAGTAATTGGATCCAGTTAGTGATGCAGAGATGTCATATGGCGAACGTGGAAGTCTATATGAGCGAGTGTTGGTCTTTTGACAACAAGCAACCAGGTTCATAACAGTTGGTATCAGAGTAGTTGGTCTTCTGACAACAAGCAACCAGGTTCATAACAGTTGGTATCAGAGTAATTGGATCCAGTTAGTGATGCAGAGATGTCATCTGGCTAGACACTGGAGTTGAATCTCATAGCGACTTGTCATCTTCTGTGTTGGGGATAGTGAGGGTGGTAGTGACAAGTGTGTGGCGAGAGGTATTGGACAGAGGGTGATGCACTTCTGCTCTGGGTTGAACAAAAGTGAGTGTACTCAGGCCTGGGAGGCTTTGAGGAGGCTAAAATTAGTCTGGCGATTCATCTAAGATTGGCGATTTGCAAGGAAGTGGCCCCCAGAGTGTTGCGATTTTGGGATTGGGTCAGGATCCCCAATTCCTAAGCAGCGCAGTGCAGGTCGGAGCAGCGCTGCACTGAGTTTCTTAGTTATTGGCATATGGGAGTCCAGGTTCGTTGAATCTGTCAGTTGGGGGTGAAGCTCAACAGGGAGATCTACAAGATCACCAAGTTTCAGAGGATTCTGGACATGGGAACACTGGGAATAGTTAGGAGAAGAAACTGGTGAGATGCGTCTCAGGAGACAACCATAGCCAGGGTTTCATCCTTCCCCCTCAGAGAATTCCCTGAAGTAAGTGTGCTCCTTACTCTACTCTGTGTGGCGATTCTGGGGCTATTTTTAGATAGCGAAATTTGCCCTGTCAATATGTAGGCAGTTGAAAATGGAAATTCTGACTATGAGACAACCATAGCCAATTTTCCTACCTATCGTCTTTGACTTCTACTAACCCTGTTTGACCCTTTCTCTGACCCAATTTTCATCTGTGATTGTTTTACAGTATTGCGATTCATACTGTACTGTGAATTGGATTGTTGAGGGTCATATTGTCAGTGATAATGGAAATTTGAATTCTGTGCTGCCATAATTGAAGCTTGGCCAGGCTAGGGGCATAACTTTGTTTCTGTCCGTCAGAATTCAGTTTTGTCTGTCCCTGGTAAATCGCAATTCAGTGTTTGGTCTGTGCTTGAAATCGCACTGTCCGATTTGGTGTATTGAACGAGTTATAGTGAAATTTGTACTTTGCCATACCCTGGGTATGGCATACAAGGTCATCCATTGGTAGGGGCAGTAGGGTAGGCCTAAAAATAGAACACCTAGTAAATTGTTACATCTTGGTTATTTGTAGGTACCTGTCACTCACTAAGGGTCAATTTGTCTAATTACTACTCACCGCTAATCAGTCCAAGGCTGCATCTTGTCAGTGTGGGACATGGGAATTGAAGTAATTGCACTCAATTGATGTGTTAGGGCAGTGAATGGAAAATCATGAAATTGATTTTTGTCGAGTTTGCTCTAAGCTGACACCTGACCCTCAAGCGGTCTGCAAGGACTAAATGGTTGTCTACTAAATACTAACCAACTTCTTTCTCCAGTTAGGCGACAACATTTGGGCGAGTACTGAAGAGAAAACCCAATTCTTGTTGACCTCGCTTTCTGTTTCCTATTTTGTTCATCTTATCTGTTTTGTGGGTTTTTCAAGATGTCGAGGAAAAACTCCGAAAACAAGCAGCAATAGTCGAGGCTCTGAAGGAAGAGAAGAGGCGCAGAGAGGAGGTAACTCAGAAAAAGGACAGACATAAACTTCTCGTGGTGGATATAGAGAAGATCAGGGTGAGCGGATCTTCCAGTCAGTACAATAAGGACATGGCGGAGTTCGTCCTCCTGCATGATGGTATCCACCGGTCCTACTTTACTAACTGTGATGCGGGGATTACCAGTCTGGAGGACAACCACTCAACGCTTTCTAAAAAGTTGGATGACAACCCCTGCAAACTGGATCGGCTCTTCACACACCTTAAGATCCCTTCAACGCTGATCATTCGTGCACCTCCTAGGAGTCCCAAGACGGACCCCCAACACACCCCACAATCTAGACCCCCATCTCCAGTCTCTACACCCAAATCAACAACCGCCTCACAACCCTCAAGTCCATTTGACCTGCAACGGCCCAAGCTGACCCCTCCACCTATGTTCTGTGGTGAGGACCCCAAGGTGGATGTTTCAGATTGGGTCACTGCACAAAGAACCTACCTGAGTGGGTTCACATGTGACGAGGATGTGAAGGTGAGTGCCATCCTTGCTCGCTTGGAGAGGACAACATTGAAATGGTGCACCTCCACCTCCAACAAGCAAGGATTGGAAATGTCTGAATGGGCGCAAAGACGGGGGGTGTCTGGTTTTCTGTAGGCTCTGAATGACCGGCTTGCAGACAAGGAGCAGGCCAGGAAGGCAGCAAACAAAATTGTCCGCCTGGGCTAGAAAAAGTGGGATGGCTCCTTGTCCAAACTCTACGCAACCTTGACATCGACTCCTGGGTTGGAGATGAGTGAGCAAGACCAACTTATCTATTTCATGAGAGCAGCGCCTGGAGAATACCAGCTTTCTTTATTCTCTCAGGGCCATAAGGACTTGCGGTCCTTTGGTAGAGCAGCCCTGGATTTGGAGTCCAAACTCCATGTCCTTGAAGCACCTTCTGACAGAAGGAAGAGACCCTCCTCAAAGGGGCGAAGAAGGAGGAAGAGTGCTCTCTTTGCTGCAACTTCTAGTTCAGAAGATGAGGCAGTATCTCAGAGTGGAACCCCTCCATCTGAGATTACCCCATCCTCTGCTGCAGATCTAGCTGTTCTTGCCCTGGCTGATGCTCTGATGGGCCTTGCAAAGGGAAAGGCCCTGGCCTAGAGAGCATCAACCAGCAGCAAGGGGAAAGGAAAAGGACGTGCCTCTTCCCGTGCGGCCCAGAGAGTCTCATTACCGCGAGACGTCCGTTGGCCAGCTGACCCCCTTGATGCTTCCATCTTCCCCTGGCATGCACTTAGGATCCAAGAGGGAGTATGGAGAAACAGGAAGGACAAGGGAGTCTGCCTGAGGTGCGAGGGGGAACACTACTTGAAGG